GCCTCCCGGGTTCAAGTGATTGCCCTGCCTCAGCTTCCCGAGTAGCTGGGGCTACAGATGTGTGCCACCACGCCTGGCTAATTTTTTGTATTTTAGTAGAGACGAGGGTTCACCATGTTGACCAGGATGGTCTCGATCTCTTGACCTCGTGATCCGCCTGCCTCAGCCTCCCAAAGTGCTGGGATTACAGGCGAGAGCCACTGTGCCCAGCGAATATTTTTTCTTTTCTTTTTCAGATGGAGTCTCGCTCTGTTGCCCAGGCTGGAGTGCAGTGGCTTGATCTCAGCTCACTGCAACCTCCGCCTTCCAGGTTCCAGCAATTCTCCCGCCTCAGGCCTCCCAACGTGCTGGGATTACAGGTGTGAGCCACCACACCCGGCCTAGATTGTAAGATTTGTAAAGTCTGTGGTTCGTCATAAAACCCAGAGTGCTAAGCACAGAGGATGGATAGATGTTTATTAGGGGCCTTACATTTCTCCACTATGGCTACCTTTGGGCATCCAGGTTAGGTTATACCTCCATAGAGCAAGAGGCAGGATGTATTTAAAGGTAGGTGAATCCAAAGTTCTTCTACGTACATGTCTGCCTGCACTGAAGTTCATAAGTTTATGTATCATTGTTGGAGTCAGGACAAAATGGGGTTTGAGAGTCAGGTTGAGAACCCAGGGGATGAGAAATGGATGGGAGAGAGAGAGAGAGAAGGGGGGGAGGGTAGAGGGACAGAGAGAGAGAGAGAGAGAGAGAGAGAGAAGAAAGAGAGAAAGTGTGGCTATCACAAAGCCAGGGGAGACACTGAGTTAATGATGGTAGCATGATACCAGAGAATCAGAAAGATGCCATAAAAGAAGTGAATACAAGGATTACAAGAACATTTCAAAACCTAATGCTAGTGTTCAGGGGACAGAGATCCTGCAAGTGTTGAAGAGAGGGAGTAAGCCACAAAACAATACCAAGGACCAGTGTCAAAGGGGCAAAATATGTGGCCAAAGGTTCAGGCAAAGGAAGTAGAATATCAGAAGCAAGAAATGGATTTGATGATGAGCCAGGTTGTTGCCTTTTTCCTGGGGATCTTGCATGCCTGGGAAGGCCAGGAACAGATCCATAAATTCAACCAATCTAGGATTCCCTTGGAGAGAGAAGGGGAAGCACTGGGCTGGAGCAGGGGCTTGCATAGCCTCTGATAGCCACTGACAAGATCTCAGCACGGGAGGCCAACCCTCAGTGGCATTGCTGTTCATTTAATCAAAATGCTGAGCTGTCCAATTAGAAAAAAAGAACTCCTTGTCCCTTCTCTCAAGATGCCGACAGGTTCACGGGGGAAATAAAACACCTTCAAGAAAAAGTAAGCATCCTACAAAGTAGTAACACAATTTACACAGGAAGTTGTATTAAAAAAAACCTAATTTTTAGGCCTGGTGAATTGGCTTATGCCTATAATTCCAATACTTTGGGAGGCCAAGGTGGGAGGATCACTTAAGCCCAGGAGTTTGAGACTAGCCTGGGCAACTTAGCGAGACCCCATGCTACCAAAAAATTAAAAAATTAGCCAGGACTGGTGGTTTGCACCTATAGTCCCAGCTACTTGAGGGGCTGAGGTGGGAGGATCATTTCAGCCCAGGAGGTCACAGCTGCAGTGAGCAGTGATCCTGCCACTGCACTCCAGCCTGAGCAACAGAGTGAGTCTGTCTCAAAAAAAAAAAAAAAAGAAAGAAAAAAAAAAAAGAAAAAAAACTCTGTTTTTCATAGAGAGCCTACAGACATTTCTTAAGGGGAATCAGTTGTAGTCTAGTTAGGGAATTATGCAAATCTATCAAAGAACTAGATTACTTTTTTTTTTTTTGAGATGCAGTCTGGCTCTATCACCCAGGCTGGAGTGCAGTGGTACAATCTCAGCTCACTGCAACTTCTTCGTCCCGGGTTCAAGTGATTCTCCTGCCTCAGCCTCCCAAGTAGCTGGGACTACAGGCGTGCACCACCACACCTGGCTTTTTTTTTTTGTATTTTTAGTAGAAATGGGGTTTTGCTATGTTGGCCAGGCTGGTCTTGAGCTCCGATCTCAAGCAATACCCCTGCCTTGGCCTCCCAAAGTGCTGGAATTACAGGCATGAGCCACCGCACCTGGCCTAGATCACTTTTATTAGTACGTGATTTGAAACAGAGCACATGTAGTTCATCTAACAAACTTAGTAGAACATTTCTTTACAGTGTATTACCATTGTAATGCAAATGGCATTTGTAACGCAGAGGGAGAGATTTGACATATTGTTTTACTCTTTGAGATACAGCGTGTTCCTACTGTGGTATTTTTTTACCTTGTTTGGAAACCAGTTAGCACAACTAACCTTGGTCTCATGGAAACTTAAATCACTGTTGGTTAACCCCGGGGCCCAGCCATTGCCTGTACTGATGATTACCTCGTGATGATTACATTCTAGTGCAGTGTCTGAATGTCCGAGGTATATTTGGATCACTTTTAACTGAAGACCCAGTCTTTGTTTTTTTTTTTTCTGAGACAGAGTCTTGTACTGTCGCCCTGGGCTAGAGTGCAATGGCACAATCTTGACTCATTGTAACCTCTGCTTCCTGGGTTCAAGAGATTCTTCTGCCTCAGCCTTCCAAGTAGCTAGGATTATAGTCGCCCACCACCACACCTGGCTAATTTTTTTTTTTTTTTTTTTTTTTTTTTTTTAGTAGAGACGGGGGTTTCACTATGTTGGCCAGGCTGGTCTCGAACTCCTGACTTCATGATCCACCCACCTCGGCCTCCCAACATGCTGGGATCACAGGCCTGAGCCACCGCGCCAGCCTAGTACCCAGTCATTTAGTGGTCTATACTTCCGTGCAGTTTTTAGCTAAGATAATGCTACAGTGTCCTTCCTTACGGGCATGGTTTTTTATTTTATTTAAAAAGTAACTTTAAAAATTATCGTCCTAAAATCTCATTCTGAATTACTCTTCTGTTATTCTCAGTGTGCGTAAGAATGTTGCCTTGGGCTTGTTTTGAATCCCTCAGCCAGGACTGGTAGGAACTTTGGAGTTTACTGATTAACAGCAAATGGTGGGAAAGCGCAGAATTTCCTGGAGCCACATGATTTGGTAGCAGGCACAACAGGAACTCTGTGGTTTGAGCTGTTACATCCCAGAGGTGTGATAGAAACAAAACCTCTTTTTAAATGGGGTTAACCTAGAAGGTGACAATTAAAATGTTGAGAGAGATTGTTAGGACAGCCACTGTGGGCAAGTAGTGGTGCCCATAGGAGAGACACCAGAAGATGACTAAGGAGGTGTCACAGCCAGGAGCAGAGACCCTGCAGATGGCAACTCACAACAAAGACAGCGAGGATCAGGTCAAAAGCTCAGGGGGCTGTTCAATGAATTTTGATAAAGGTGACGTGGAGTTCAATCTGAAACCAGGAAGTGGAAGACCTCCCTGTGTCCCCTACAACATTTGTCAACAACGCCTGCCTTTGTGTTAAAACAGGCCGGAATGGGGAGCAAACTACAGAACGGGGACCAGTTTCCTCTCTTTGTGCCCCAGTTCCCCCTCCTTTGTATACACCCACCATCCTGAATAGACTCTGGTTCTCAGCGCTAACACCGACAGCATTCATCCTGTAGAGAAACAAATATTGCTCAGAAGGACACAGCCAAAGAATCATCAGAGAGTTGGGAGCCAAGACCCCGAGGTAGCACTTGTGGAAATCAAGTCTACATAAGATAACTCATGCAAATGAGCCTAACAAGGCCAAAATTGAATTTAACATGGATTGTTTTTTCCCATCATAAGGCAGAACTTTGATAGAACAGCAAGCAACTTCGTGATGTGGTTTTAGACACTTAGACCATATAGTGGCCACGATTGGCTGTTGAGTGTTTCTCTCTTTGGGCATTTTTTAAAAAATCACTAAATACTTTATATCGCATAGAATTTTTGTTGTAAACATGTTGAAAGAGCTGTTTTAGAATTAGCTAGACATTGATTTTTTTCCCATTTTTATTTTTTATGTCACTGTTGTGCACAGATTTTTTTTTTTTTTTTTTGAGACGGAGTCTCGCTCTGTCCCCCTGGCTGGAGGGCAGTGGGGCGGATCTCGGCTCACTGCAAGCTCCGCCTTCCGGGTTCCCGCCATTCTCCTGCCTCAGCCTCCCGAGTAGCTGGGACTACAGGCGCCTGCAACCGCGCCCGGCTAATTTTTTTTTTTTTTTTTTTTTTTGTATTTTTAGTAGAGACGGGGTTTCACCGTGGTCTCAATCTCCTAACCTTGTGATCCGCCCGCCTCGGCCTCCGAAAGTGCTGGGATTACAGGCATGAGCCACCGCGCCCGGCCGTGCACAGATTTAAAAAAAGAAAATACAAACAAATCTAATTGGTCAAGGTATTCCTAAACTTTTTTGCATTCAGAGGCTCTTTCGTCAATCATCTCCGGCCCCCAACCCTGGCTTTATTGAAGTATGATTGACAAATAAAAATTCTACACATTTGGCCAGATACAGTGGCTCCCGCCTGTAATCCCAGCACTTTGGGAAGCCGAGGCGGGCGAATTACCTGAGGTCAGGAATTCAAGACCACCCTGACAACATGGTGAAACTCCATCTCTACTAAAAATACAAAATTAGTTGGGCATGGTGGTGTGTGCCTGTAATCCCAGCTACTTGGGGAGGCTGAGGCAGGACAATTGCTTGAACCCGGAAGGTGGAGATTGCAGTGAGCTGAGATCACACCACTGTGCACCAGCCTGGGAAACAAGAGCAAAAAAACTCTGTCTCAAAAAAAAAAAAAAATTGTCACTTTGGGAGGCCAAGGCGGGTAGATCACAAGGTCAACAGATCGAGACCATCCTGACTAACATGGTGAAACCCCGTCTCTACCAAAAATACAAAAATTAGTTGGGCGTGGTGGTGTGTGCCTGTAGTCCCCATTACTTGGGAGGCTGAGGCAGGAGAATCGCTTGGACCCGGGAGGTCAAGATTGCAGTGAGCTGAGATCATGCCACTGCACTCCAGCCTGGCAACAGAGTGAGACTTCATCTAAAAAAAAAAAAACTGTACATATTTAAGGTGTACAATGTGAAGTTTTGATCTACGTATATATCGCGAAGTGATTACCACAATCAAGCTAGTCACATATCTATCATGTTTGTTTGTGTGTGGTATGAATGCTTAAGATCTATTTTCTTAGCAAAATTTCAAGTATACATTTTTTCCCCTTTTTTTGAGATAGGATCTCCCTACCTTGGCCAGGCTGGTTTCAAACTCCTGGGCTCAAACAATCCTCTACCTCAGCCTCCTGAGTCGTGGGGATTACAGAGGCCACCGTACTCCACAACACATTATTATTCACTGTAGTCACCATGCTGTAAAGTAGGTCTCCAGACCTTGTTCACCTTATAACTGAAATTTTGTACCCTTTAACCAACATCCCCTAGTCCATGGTAACCCCTCTACTACTACTGTGTGTTATGGTGAGCTCGACCTGTTTAGATTCCACATGAGTGAGATATGCAGTGTTTGTCCTTCTGGGTCTGGCGTATTTCACTTATGATAATGTTCTCCAGGTTCACCAACGTTGTAGATCTGTGGGCATTTTTAGAAGTGAGGGTCTGCCTGTAAAGATTTCCTGGAAGCTTCTGCCCTCTAGTGCCCAGCCTGAGAGGTAGTGTGGCACCATCCCTACTTATCCTTGCTTCCTTCCTCAATTTACTCATCGCGATTCAGCGTGAGAATATGATAAAGTCAGCAGGATGGAGCTGAGTAGTGCAAATACATAGCAAATCCTATAAAGATTGATGGAAGAGAAATTGGGAGAATCTAGTTAAATAGACCCAAAAGCATGCATACACCAGTATTTTTTCTTTACCATTCTCTTGCGCCCTCTGCTTGTAAGTCACCCTCCAGGAGAATTGTGCAGCCAGTCCTCACAGTCCCCCATCACTGTTCATGTCCTTAATCTCCCTGCTTGCTTCTGCCCTTCTTTCCAGGCGGAGAATGTGGGTTACCTGGTGGGAGCACAGCAGATCTGATTGAAGGTCTCTACGGACTCCAGTAGAAAGCATACCTTCGAATAGGTGGGCTTATATCGGTCATTTATTGTTGTCTAAAAACGGATTTGTATGATGAGAAAAATAATGCACGCTCACTGCAGGAAAGTACAAATTCCCCCACTTACTTATTTCTGCATGCAGATGCTTATTTAACTCAGGCTGAGTAGGTTAAGGTAAGAAATTCTGGAATGGGAAGACAAATCATTGGAGAAGAGGATAGTGGAACTTCTAAGAGAGTCCAGGCAGGGATCACACCCAGACCCTGCAGTCTTTCCCCTCCTCTGAACGCGGCCCCTTGAAGTGCTTCGGTTTCCCTTCGTTCAGAGCGTGCGCCTAATATCACGTACACATTCACATAGTTCTTTCGGCCTCAGACCTGTGATTGCTTGGGGATCTGAGCACCACGGACTGGACTGGGGTGACCTGGTGGGTTGGGCTGAATGCGGGCGCTGGGGCCGCCGCCATTGCCAAGCCGCGCCCTGGAGAACAGCTGCCCTGGGTCAGCTGAGACGTACGTGCCTCCCCAGCCGCCTGGCTGCATCTGGTATCCTCTTTGACTTCATCTGGCATCTCTGTAACTCGAGGTCAAGCGGAGAAGAATAACCTGTTGAAATAACAAATCCATTAAGTTATTTTTAAATATGGATAAGTAAAAAATAAGAAAACAGAAATGGTTTATAATCCCACCTCCTAGCTAGCCTTTGTGGACGTTAAAAAAATTACAGGCACAGCCTTAAAATGTGCGTCACAGCATAGGAATGTCGATAGAAATGAAATGAAAAGTCGATAGAACAGAAATGAAAAGTCGATAGACTTTTTTTGTTTTGTTTTGTTTTTTTACAGGCTTGAGCCACCGCGCCCGGCCAAAAGTCGATAGACTTTCTATCCGGCAGTCCTTCATTTCAAAGATAACCATTACTATCTCTGGAAAAAAATATTTACGTATGTGTATACTTATCTTTTAAAATTTGTAGAACATGGATTTTTTTCCCATATTCATTCTGTTGCTGTTTTCTTTTTTCACTTCCTATTTCTCAGAGATATTTATACATTGGCACATCTAGATGTAATTAATACTTCTTAAGAGTGCATAGAATTCCATTTGTAAGGTAGCATAATTTATTTAGCTTATTCCTTACTCATGGATATTCAGGATTTAGTTTTCTCACTATAACCACATTGCAATGAACATATGCTTATGTCTATCTTGGAATATTTTTGTTGGTGTAATCTATAGGGTAATTTCATAGGAGTGGATTCCCTATAGATTCCCTATAGTGTGCCAAGTCGCACAGTGTGGAACTACACTTTAAAAAGGTATTGGTGGGCCGGGCGCAGTGGCTCAAGCCTGTAATCCCAGCACTTTGGGAGGCCGAGGCGGGCGGATCACGAGGTCAGGAGATCAAGACCATCCTGGCTAACCCGGTGAAACCCCGTCTCTACTAAAAAAATACAAAAAACTAGCCGGGCGAGGTGGCGGGCGCCAGTAGTCCCAGCTACTCGGGAGGCTGAGGCAGGAGAATGGCGTAAACCCGGGAGGCGGAGCTTGCAGGAGCTGAGATCTGGCCACTGCACTCCAGCCTGGGCGACAGAGCGAGACTCCGTCTCAAAAAAAAAAAAAAAAAAAAAAAAAGGTATTGGTACATTTTGTCAAATTGCCCATAAAAAAGATCATACAAGTTTGGCCGGGCTTGGTCGCTCGTGCCTGTAATCCCAGCAATTTGGGAGGCCGTGGTGGACAGATCACCTGAGGTCAGGAGGTCGAGATCAGCCTGAACAACATGGCGAAACCCTGTCTCTACTAAAAATACAAAAATTAGCCAGGCATGATGGTGGATGCCTGCAATCCCAGCTACTCAGGTGGCTGAGGCAGGAGAATCGCTTGAACCTGGGAGGCAGAGGTTGCAGTGAGCCGAGATCTCGCCATTGCACACCCAGCCTGGGCAACAGGAGCAAAACTCCGTCTCAAAAAAAAAAAAAAAAAAAAAAAAAAAAATCATACAAGTTTATAGTCTCACCACAAAGTGAACAAGGTTGAGCATCTTTTCATATGCAAAATGACCGTTAATATTCTTTTTTCTGTGAATTGCTTATTCCTATTCTTTGCTCATTTTTCCGTTGGGTTCAGCATTTACTGATTTGGCTGAGCTTGATAAATTAAGAAAGTTAGGCTTTTGTCTTTCACTGTGTTTTGTAGATGTTTTCTCCAATTTGTCCTGTGTGTTTTAACTTTGTGTTTAGTACTTGTTTTTGTTTGGTTTGGTTTTTGCTGCAGCAGCATTTTTAACATTTCATATGGCAAATGTGGCAGAGTACCTTTAGGCTATCGGCTTTTCTATCTTATTCTGAAAGGCCTTCCCAACTGCAAGCTTATAAATCAATTTACCCATGCTTTTTATTTAAAACAACAACAGCAGTAGCCGCCACATTGTTGTTGTTAGGAAAGCCAGATAGTCAATGCAGAAAGTTTATAAAATACACTTAAGAGACAGAAAGAAATGTTACCGTGAAATTGCTAGAGATAGTCACTATGAATATTTTGTCATAGGAAGTTCCTGCCTTTGATTCTATGTAGTAACTGCTGTATTTTGATGTCATGAATTCTACTTGTTAAATATTTGAGTTATATTTTTAAAAAACAGTTTTATTGAGGTATAATTTATATATCATGAAATTCACCCATTTTAGATGTATAATTCAATGACTTTTAGTAAACTTACATAATTGTGCAATCATCACTACAATCTAAGTCTAGAACCTTTATTTCTTTCACCCTGGAAAGAAACCGTGTGTCCATTTGCTGTAACTCTCCGTTCCCTCCCCTCAGCCTTAGGCAACCACTAATCTACTTCCTGTCTCCATGGATTTGCCTTTTTTGAACATTTTATAGAAATGGAATCATACAATATGTATGTTTTTGTGTGTTTGGCCTCCTTCACTTAATATGAGGTTCATCTATATTGTAGCTGTATCAGTAATTCATTGTTTTTATTGCTAAATAGTATTTCATTGAATGGATATGACACATTTTTGAGTATCCATTATCAGTGGAAGGACATTTGGATTATGTCCACTTTTCAGCTGTCATGAGTTTTATGCTAGCTATAAACGTTTGTCTACAAGTTTTTATGTGGACGTAGTTTCATTTCTTCTGGGTGTGTATCTAGAAATGGAATTACTGGGTCACATGATAACTTTATGTTAATGTTTGGTTGTATTTTTGAGGAGCTGGGACTGGGATCAATTAATATTGAAAACCTTAACTAGGAAGTGCAGACAGGAGCCTTTAGAGGAAAACCTCCCCAAAAAGGCCAGACCTGTGCAGTGTTTAAAGCTAGAGGACTTTAAAGCTGGGCACGGTGGCTCACGCCTGTAATCCCAGCACTTTGGGAGGGCAAGGGGGGTGGATCAGGAGGCCAGGAGTTTGAGACCATCCTGGCCACCATGGTGAAACCCTGTCTCTACTAATAATACAAAAATTAGCTGGGTGTGGTGGCACGCACCTATAGTCCCAGGTACTGGGGAGGCTGAGGCAGAAGAATCACCTGAACCTGGGAGGTGGATGTTGCAGTGAGCTGCGATGCTGCGATCACGCCACTGTACTCTAGCCTGGATGACAGAATGAGACTCCATCTCAAAAAAAAAAAAAAAAAAAAAAAAAAAAAGAGGACTTTTAATAGAGCCTAAGGTTACCTTTGGGTCTTGACCTAACAGAATGTTAGATGTGTTTCTTTTTGTGCGATATCAGTTGAGGCACTAATGTGTAATGGACAACAAATACAAAAATGAGTGTAAGACTGAACCCCACATGGGCAAAACTTAGAAAGGGTCAGGGATAAGGAGATGAGGACAGATGTTTGTACACCCATGTTCAGAGCAGCAGCATTCACAATAGCTGAAAGGTAGAAGCAACTCAAGTGTCCACTGATGAATGGATGGAAAAACAAAGTGTGGTCTACCCATCCAATATTCCATCCTGACACATGCTATAGCATGGATGAACCTTGAGGATATTGTACTCAGTAGAATAAGCCAGTCACAGAATGATTCCATTATATGAGGTTCCTAGAGCAGTCAGATTCATAGAGACAGGAAGTTCAAATGGTAGGTTAGAGTTCATGTTAGAAACTCTGGGTACAGAGTTTCAGTGTGGGAGGATTGAAATAATTTTGGAGATGGTTTGGCCATTACAGTTGCACAGCAACATGAATATAGTTAATACAACCGAGCTATACATTTGAAAATGGTAAAAATGCTAAGTTTTATGTTGCATGTAATACCACGTACAAAGTAATGAAAAAGAGGGGGATTCCAGTATAGCCAGAGGAGGGGTTTTTATGCCATGCCCTGTCTCCAGACTCTCCTCTTCTCCTCCATTCCGCCCATGACTGGGGAAAGGGCTTCAGTGGGATTGTCCATGAGCTTGATTTGTGTTTGCTGAAGTTGGGACACGTTCAGAATGGGGTTGGCACCTTAAGAAATAGAGGGGCTAAAAGGCAGGTTCACCAACCAGCAGTGAGGTCTGGAGCATGCTGTTATCTCTGAGATATCAAGGCCAAGGTCTCTCAATATTTCCTGTCCCCCAGAGTAGGCCCCTCCGCGGGAGAGCTGGCTAGAACCATTTGTGAGTGCTGCCTGGGGAGCCACTGGGAAGGGTGGAGTCTGCAGCAGCATGAAGCCATGTGGAGTGGACAGTGGGGAAAAGCAGCCTGGCGGGTGGAATGTTTTGTTCAAAGCCTGAGAATTAGGTGAGAGGCCTCAGCAATTGGGTAATTAAAAAGAAAACAAAAGCCCATGAAATTGCTTCATGGAAGTAAGAGTTTGCTTTCACTGTGACAAGCCCAGAGTGCAGGGAGCCACCCAGCTAAGTAGAATCCATTGCCCCTCCCCAGGAAGGGCCCCAAACAGCAGCTAGTGGGAGAATGGAGAAGAGAAGAAGATGCCCACACCTTCTTTTTCAAAGCAGGCAGTCTTTAGGCCTCACTTAGCCAAGAAGAAAAGGACTCTGAATGAGGACTGAAGGGTTTGTTAATATCTTGGATGGAACCTGTACAAGTTACTAAACCAATGTTGATTTTATGATCTTAACACTGTAGAACCATCCATTATCTAAGAGTGAATGCAGTAGTGATGGGATTTGCCCAAGTATCCATCCAGGGATGGGGGAAATTATCTCCATAATTATATTTTGAAGGTACCACGGGAGAATAAACAGAAACAAACAAACAAAAGACAGTTATTGGCTTTGCTACAAAACTGGTTTAGTCAATATACAGATTGTACTCCCAACCCTTTTTCCCCCCAGTATATCTTTATTTTTTTCTACAGAAGAACATTTTTTCCCCAGTGTCTTTGTAAAGACTTTTATTTTTGTGGTCCACATGCTTTAACTTGTGTATGGAAATAATCTGGACCGAGTCAGAAATTGTGGGTTCTAGTCTGTCTTATAGTCTCAGTCTTCTTCTTCATTTTGTTTTAATTAATTAATTTTATTTATTTATTTATTTATTTATTTATTTATTTATTTATTTATTTTTGAGACGGAGTCTTACCCTGTCACCAGGCTGGAGTGCAGTGGCATGATCTCAGCTCACTGCAACCTCCGCCTCCCAGGTTCAAGCGATTCTCCTGCCTCAGCCTCCCAAGTAGCTGGGACTACAGGCATGTGCCACCACGTCCAGCTGATTTTTGTATTTTTAGTAGAGATGGGGTTTCACCATGTCGGCCAGGATGGTCTTGATCCCTTGACCTCGTGATCTGCCCCGCCTTGGCCTCCTAAAGTGCTGGGATTACAGGTGTGAGCCCCTGGGCCCGGCCTCTTCTTTTTTTTTAATTTAAATTTTTATTTTAAGTTCTGGGGTACATGTGCAGGATGTGCCAGGTTGTTACACAGGTAAACATGTGCCATGGTAGTTTGCTGCACAGATCAACCCATCACCTAGGTATGAACTCAGCATCCATTAGCTATTTTTTCTAATGCTTTCCCTCCCCCAGT